TGGTCTCAAAGTAGTTCCATGACTGATGGCAACGANCAGAATTAAAAAATTACTATAATATTCACATTTTAAAATCAAATTTTTTCTTTACTTTACTCTTGACTATAAAATTAATGAAACATGATAACAAATCAACACATTTCAATTAAACATATCGGATGTTTTTTTCTCTCAAGTGAGAATTTTTTTATTCGGGGTTGAAAATCACTTATATTTTTTTTACATATTTTTTGATCTGGGACCAATGCCCTACCTATTTCGGTATTATATCATATATTATAAAAGGTATTTTAGGCACTTAGACAATATTCTTTTAGATGAAAACAAAAGTCATAACATGTTTTGGACATATAGAGCATACTCTCCGTTAACTTACATAATAAAAGTAATCATTTCACTTTAATACATAACTACAAATGAGTAATGTGCATAGCTTTAAACATCAAATAACAAAAATATTTCTAAGCAAAACCACGTAAAGATAAAAAATAATTAACCTTTACAACGGTCATGACAACCGTTGGTCTCAAAGTAGTTCCATGACTGATGGCAACGACCTGGACGTGTTGGGTCAACTCGTCGTGCACATGACATGAAGAACCAAGAATGTGTGTGTTTCAATGTATATTTGCGTGCTTGTAAATTAGAATTGTTGATTTATTTTGATTAATCTCTACGTGCGTAATAATACCTTTTCTTTTCAAATTGAAATTGTAAGACATAGGCAATATGTGGACAGTGCCTTCTTGCGTATCTCATAAGTTCAACGAAATTTTTCACTGATACCCNTGTATATTTGCGTGCTTGTAAATTAGAATTGTTGGTTTATTTTGATTAATCTCTACGTGCGAAATAATGCCTTTTCTTTTCAAATTGAAATTGTAAGACATAGGCAATAGGTGGACAGTGCCTTCTTGCGTATCTCATAAGTTCAACGAAATTTTTCACTGATACCCCTCTATATTGTTGTAATTACAGGAACGCCTCTTGTGTTTTCTGAAATATCATTGCACTCGCCTATAAATGGGGTACCTGTTTCACGTACTACCCCTACCGTTAACAGGGTTACCAACAAGTTACTGACATCTTTAAGTCAGCAAATATGACCTGATAAAATATCGATATGAGCCTTGTACATTCTTCTCCCACTTTCTCCTGCACTAACCCCAATATGTAAAACCAATCTGTAGTATGCTCGTTCATCACTAGGGTGTTAAACGTGTCGGATTAAACGATTACGTATCGAGTTCAACGGGTGGTAAGTAAAAAATATGTAAACCAATATACGNCGTACATTCTTCTCCCACTTTCTCCTGCACTAACCCCAATATGTAAAACCAATCTGTAGTATGGTTTTTTCATCACTAGGGTGTTAAACGTGTCGGATTAAACGGTTACGTATCGAGTTAAACGGGTGGTAAATAAAAAATATGTAAACCAATATACGACCCGTTTAATAAACGAGTAAAAAATCTCAACACGAACATGAACTGTTTAATAAACGGATAACACGACACGACTCGTTTAACCCGTTTAATTTTAATTTATTATTATATTTTTTGTGATTANGAGAGAGAGAGAGAGAGAGAGAGACATAGTTGCTCAAAGAATGACCTCTAAACAATCCTAAGAATGTCAAATTCACATAACAATGGCCTCTAAACAATCCTAAGAATGTCAAATTCACATAAATCAACAAATTCAATTCAATTTGGTTGAAAATAAGACCCAAAAAGAATGTCAAATTCACATACATAAATCAACAAATTCAATTCAATTTGGTTGAAAAATGAGACCCAATTTTTTCTCAATCAAAGGGAGACCCACTAAAAAATTCTATTCAGTCACAGAGATACCCAATTGTACAAATTTAATTGAGAGAATTACATTCAGACTCTATAAGGTTTGTCACTTAATCACACAGATTCCCTAACATTTAAAATATCATACACAGACCCCTAAGGTTTATATGCACGTAACACTCAGACCCCTATCGTCAATGTCCGTTAGTATATCCGTTACTAAATTACATCTAGATTCTCTAAAGTTTTTACACGTGTAATACTTAGGCCCTTCAAGTTTAAAATGTTATACTTAGACCAAAAATACTCCAATCAAATATAGAATATCAAATATTTTAAATTTTACAATCAAAATTTATGTTCTATTATGACATTTATTGAAATCAAATTAAAAATAAAAAATTTAATTTTTTTTTTAAAAAATCATAATTAATATACAACTATATTATCTATTAAAATTTAATTTGGTCGTTTAAATGACCAAATTATCTCAATTATATTGTGTAGTTACAATTTGATCCTTTGTTTATTTTTTAGTTTTATTTCAATAGATAGTATAATTATATACTAATTATAATTTTTTAAGAAAAAATAATTTTTAATTTTTAATTTTATTTTAATAAATGACATAATAGAATATAAATTTTGAAAATTCATATTCTATTATGAATTACTGAGACTGCTTGTTTGATTTTTTTAGTTTATTACAATGGATAGTATAATTATATCTTAATTACGAATTTTTAAGAAAAACTTGACTTTTCATTTTTAATTTTATTTCAATAAATGATACAAAAGAACATGAATTTTGATTTTAAAATTTAAAATATTTGATATTTTATCTTTAATTAGAGTATTTTTAATCTAAGCATAACATTTTAAACTTGAAGTCCAAATATTATACGTCTACAAACTTCTGAAGTCTGGGTGTAATTTACTAACGGATATATCAATAGATATTTGATGGAAGGGTCTAAGTGTTACGCACATGAAGTTTATGTGTAATATTTCAAATACAAGGGATCTTGGTGTAATTCTCCATATTTAATTTGAGAGAGAGAGAGAGAGAGAGAGAGTCTCAGTTTGCTGAAACAGTGACCCACCCTATGCAATCCCAAACATGTCAAATTCACCAATCAACCAAGAAAAATGAAACTAAGAAAAGTCCATAGATTGCCCACAAAATATTTCTTGATACAATCGATCATAAATTCAACTAATCAAATACCATTTTCTGAAAAATCCACACCCTCTTAACAACCTGGTTCACATCAAGCCAAATTCATGAGGGGATGGCTTTCAGTGCTGCCCGTTGTATACATGAAGAGCCAATGAGATACAAAGAAGAAGTTCACCCACTTGCTTTAAAATTAATGGAATTAGGGCACAAATTTCAGAAAGTTGAAGGATTTTCTCTCGTAGAGAATCAAATTAAGGAAAATTGAAGAGATTAACTTGAAAATTGAATGACGCCGAAGGAGAAACCGTTAAGGCCAAATGAGAAATCACCATAGCACAGGTTGATGCTTTGGTCTATAGAGCAATTGTAAGAGTCCAAGTCGAATACCACAAAGCACAAGTCAGCGTGTTTGGTTCGGGGCAGCGGGCGACATGATGCTGGTGAGAGAGAGAAAGATAGTGATGTTATGGTTCTCGTTTGTTGGTGGTCTGGTGGTGCTTGTGGAGATCGCGGTGGCGTGCTATTCGTAGATTATTCTAAAGTTATCTTGACCACTAAAATGTTACAAATAACTAACTAACTTCGAATTTTTAGAAGATACAATTAAAATTGGACTTGATTACCATACTCTAAAACAATTCGATACTGTACTTATGAATTTAATAATGCTACAAACATCACCTTTTTTCATCACCTCGACATAAATGATTAGATTAGTGAATCTTATTGAATATTTAAAAATTATGGTCATGTCACCTTAGGTGGTACACATGTCACTATTATTCTAAATTTTGTTACTTTAATGAGTGCTTTTATAATTTTTGTTGGATATTTTATAACAAAAAAAATTATTACTTTTATAAGTGATTTACATCTGTTGCTTATGTTTTTATCCCTGTTGTGGCAATTATTTTTATCACCTTTATGGTATTTGTGATCGATCTTAAAAATATACTTTTGTAGTAAAAAACATATACGATAGTTAATAGGTCAAGTTCAGACTAGACCTAGTCCAGAATTATAGATGATGGGCCAGGTTCAAAGGCCCAACTCAAATCATGATCTCAGCCTGAGTAAAAGGTCCAATTAAACGAGATTCAATGAATCCATCAAAAGAGGTATGAGGAGCTACATCACTAAGAAGTAGGGAGCGTCATCCCAAGAGCCTCATCCACGCTGTCTTGAAAAAAGTTAATAATCACGTCATCCTTTGACTTGATCTTAAGAGGAGCTCCGTAACAGCCTTATCCGTTAAGAAGATAGTATCGGCTCTATCAAATTAACTACTTAGTTACTGAAAAGACGCATCAATTTGTTAAGAAACACTATAAATTGTAAGCCCCGCCAATACTTAGAGGGCATCGAACACATCTGCTATCACTCTCCCCCCTCTCTCTCTCATAACCTGTATCTTCATTGCTCTCCCTGATCTCCCTACACTACTCGAAGTAATAAAATACGTGCAATCCAATAATCAATTTATCTCTCATCGAAGTGAAGTAATATTAACCACAATTGGGAGCAGGAGTCTTGCTCAAAGTATAAACCCCACAAGCTCTTCAGGAAAAGTATCCTTATGATGCACTTTTCTTCATAGCACTAGAAATCCTAGCAAAACTCTTCAACTATTGGGCGCCAACTACCCTGGCACTAGTGAAAAATAGTGGAGAAGGCATAAGAAACCTCAGCCTAACTTCGAATACCTCCTCGTAAACAGCAATGTCTTCAGAAGAGTCATCACAAATAAGCTCATCCATTTTAACTAGGTGACACAACACCGTCGGAAAGATATTATAAATATAAACAACCCACATAATATCATCGGTGTTGAGGGTACTAGAAATACAATTTACTTTGGATCTGGCGGCGTCATCAAGAGCTACTTTTTCTCGATGTTTACTGTTTGCAAGGGCGAAGAGAAGCATTGCCTGGGTACCAGGAGAGCCTTGAGCTCGATGTTTACTGTTTGCAAGGGCGAAGAGAAGCATTGCCTGGGTACCAGGAGAGCCTTGAGGGATCTAACTCCGTGGAGTTCCACCTGAACGAACCATATCATCCGCCATTTGACCAGAATCAATGCCGTCAGAAACACCTACATCCCCCGACATACTATGCTCCATAACCCCGTACCGAGGCTTCCTAGCTCTGTGCCCAACCACCGTCGTGGTGCCTATATCGCCCAACATCGACAAAATGGCATCCAGCGTTGCCCGCTCGCGCCCTAAACCTAACGATGTCGTTCGCACACCAGTCTGGCCTTGTCTAGTGCCTGGCGACGCCACTGGCGCGCGTACTTGGCCATGCCCAGCATCTAGCAAAGCCATTTGCAGGCTCCACAGCCTACGCTCGTCACCTAGCAGCGCACCTCCACCGAGATCAACAAAGTCGCCAGCCCCAGGCGCCAATGGCACCTTGCTTCAGTGCCCATCGATCGTAACGCCTCACCACTAGCGCCCATCACCCACAGCGCCTCAACTCCGGCGCCTATCTCTTGGGTCACCTCCCCTTCGGGCCTCGCTACTTGGGTCGCCCCAATGTCGACGCGCACCGCCTGGGTCACCTTGCCGAACGGTGCGCCTGCTGCCTCGCCATGGATCTCCATCTTGCCTTCAACACCTGCTTGGATCACTGCCTCTCCGATGCCAATTAGACCCCCTGTTTCGACGAGGTTCGCCTGGGCTCTGACATCAACACTGATCGCTCCATCTTGCATCACCCCTTCGTCACTTGACATCGATCTATAAGCACTCGAGTCTACGATGGGATCACAAGCCCTACTCATCTTCCCTCTTGCTTTTGTTCTTGGGACCTCGCTAGGAGCCCTCTCTCAAAGTGAATGAAATAAGGGGAGAAAGAAGAAATTCTCAATATATGACCAAGGGCTTTTTGAAATTCTAAAAGAGAATAAGGCGGAGGGGTTTATATACCTGAAGACGTCCTACATACAAAAGGAGTTTTTATATAGAGTCNATAAGCACTCGGGTCTACGATGGGATCACAAGCCCTACTCATCTTCCCTTTTGCTTTTGTTCTTGGGACCTCGCTAGGAGCCCTCTCTCAAAGTGAATGAAATAAGGGGAGAAAGAAGAAATTCCCAATATATGACCTAGGGCTTTTTGAAATTCTAAAAGAGAATAAGGCGGAGGGGTTTATATACCTAAAGACGTCCTACATACAAAGGGAGTTTTTATATAGAGTCGTCGGTAAAAGGAGTCTTCATTAGCCAAAATGTCCTTTTCTCCAAGTTTTATTGGACTCGGGGCGTTAGGGGGCTGATAGGTTAAGTCCAAGGACCCAATTCAGATTATAAGTTCAACCTGAATAAAGGTCCAACCATACGAGATCCAATGGGTCCAGGCAACAAGAGGTTCACGTCAAATCAAGCTTATCAAGGTTTAAAGATTTGCAACACTGAGGAGTAGGGAGTGTCATCCTAAGAGTCTCATCCACACCGCCTTGAAAAAAGTAAACAATCACGTCATCCTTTGACCTGATCTTAAAGAGAGTTTCGTAACTGTCTCATCCGTTGAGAAGATATCGTCAGCTCCACCAAATTAGCTACTTAGTTACTAAAAAGGCGCATCAGTCTGTTAAGAGGTACTATAAATTGTAAGCCCTGCGAATACTTAGAGGGCATTGAACACATCTGCTATCACTCTCCCCTCTCTCTCTTATAACCTGTATCTCTATTGCCCTCCCTAATCTCCCTATTCATATTGGAGTAAGTTACGTAGACCGAACCAATCTACATCTTTGTCTTGCTTGAGTTATTCTCTCTCTATTTAATTATTTCATTAATTACTGAATTCTTGACAGGTGGTACATAAAACCAATTTTTACATTATCAACAGACTAGTTGTACTTGGGTTCCCTTTAGAACTCCTATTTGTATTAATACTAATACTATTTAGACTTAACATTTTGATCTAATTTATTTATCTAATAATGTGACTTCATTGAAACCATTGGATCAATACCAACTTTTAATGTTTGATGGGACTCATAGTTAATCAAAAAGTCATAATATATTAAATCAATAAATTAGATCCCTATAGTATTATTCTTGTATTAATTTTGTACCACCCTACGGAAGGAAAACACCATTTAATAGATTTAGGAAAGTTTCTATTCTTGTTCTCAAGTAGCATCACAAATGCTTCAAAGGCTTGTTTAGATTGATTTTTGGGAAAAGTTTGGAGTGACTTCCTCAAATCCTACTAAACTCAAATCTCTCTTTACAAAAATGGGATTCAACGTTGAATTCAGTTCATACTCATGTTTAGTATGACAACAGATATATTACTATTATGATAATATATTTATATATAAATGACTATTTTGCGTCTTCATCAATCTATTCCAAACCTATGTTTGTATATGTATGGAGTATAATTGTTTTTTTGTATCCTGAATCCATTAACCCTCATCTGAAGCCCTCCTCCCCGTGTTGGATGAAACCCAAGATTTGGGATTTAAGGTCTAGATGTGTTGGACTTGATAACTCAGGCTTCAAATTTTTTGTCAAACATGGAATTTTTGTGTCATTTGAATTTTTTTTTTCCCAAGTCATCTTCCAAAGTCCCCCAATCCCACTTACCAAACAGCCCCAAAGGTTTCTCTAGCCAGGGAAAGAGCCATCTTGGCTGTAGTGTGAAAATCAGTTTTAGTGTTACCAATACTCTCCTTGTTTCTATCTTTCCAAATACTCAAAATGAGGGCCACAAACAGTTGTCGCCGCGGCAGTTCATTCCAGCAGGAATGGCTAGAGGAGATGCAGTACTTTGACCAGTATTTGAGATCACCACACACATCCTAAGGGATTGTAGCAAGGTCCAATCTATTTGGTCCTACTTTCTCTCCCAGCAAGAGAGTAAAGCGTTGGTTTCAAAATGGCAGAACAAGTAATAGAAACTAAGGATGTTGACTTCATGTCAACTATTCTTTATAAAGGAGAATCTCAATTTTATCAATTGACACTAATACAATATGAACATGACACAAGATTGAAAATGGTACAACTAATTAAACTAATAGTAAATGAGTTAGATATACGTTAACCATGAATAATATAATTAATTAGTATTATAAGTACAAATTTAGATTGTCGCTTGGGGATCTAGTTGTGTATACATCAATCTTAGTTGGTCGTTAACTCCACATCTTGTTGTTGTCACCATGTTTCATATCTCGCTCAGTTATCTCTGCTATCTAGGAAAAAAAAAAGTACTACAATCATTGATCCTGTGATTGCCTTCTTAATGATCTGAATTAGATAAATCTTTAATTTTTTTTAACATATTACCATGAGTTTTTTTTAAATTAAATATTTTTTCCATAAACACATGACTACGATATGATTCGAAAATGACACGACCTAAAAATAAGAAAACACGAATTTCACGAATTTGACACTCTCTTGAAACCAATTGTTCAAGGATATGTTAGGCTCACGGCCCACAGACTCTTATTAGTCTGGCACACGTGGGCCAAAATTTTGGTCTATCTTGGCTGGGTGGGACAACAAAGCCCAATAAATTGGGCCTAGGAGAAATAATAAAATTTGATTTATATACTCAAATACTATTCAAGAAATATATATCTAGTGTACTAAATCTTTTATTTAAACTCTCAAACCTTTATTTCAATCAATAAAACTTTTATCTGAGTTTCAAATTAATATCCCAATATTTGATTTAATAATTTTATAGAATTAAAAATTTCATTTAAATAATGAAATAAAGGAAAAATAGGTCACAAGTTCACATTTGGGGACTTTTTGGGCATTAGGTCCAGCCTTAATATTTTTAAAGCCAAAAATTCATACTTGATAAAAATACCCATAATTAAGGCAATTACTAAAAAAAATTTCTCTCTCATCTATTTTTCGTCCCTCCCTCAACGCCCCGCACACTCCAAAAACAGTGAACTAAAAATATCGAATACAAATAAATTGNCAAGGCAATTACTAAAAAAATTTTCTCTCTCATCTATTTTTCGTCCCTCCCTCAACGCCCCGCACACTCCAAAAACAGTGAACTAAAAATATCGAATACAAATAAATTGTAATTAATTAATTAAATTTTAATTACTTAGTTAAGCATTCCATTTAAGTTGAGAAACATATAGTAAAAACAATGAACTCAAAAAATTCATTTAGAAAATTTTAATCCACACAGTAAGAAGACAATAAAATAAATATTGAATTTCAGTAAAACCGAATAGTAAAATAAATAATTCAAAGTCCAAATATCTCTTAGTTCAGTGGCCTTTTTTACACAGTGAAATTGATAAAAGGCAATAAAATAATTATCAAATTTCAGTAAAATCGAACAATGAAATAAAATATTTCAAAATTCAAATATTCCTTAATTGCTTACGGAAAATAACTAAAACGGAAGAACAATTTTTTTTTTTTAACAAGTAAATCAATTTTATTTAGTGATAGTTCAATTCAGAACACACATAAAATTCACTGTACAACCACCAAATATGACCAAACACCACATCTTTGCAAATGTATGGTTTTGGCAATTCGTCGCCGGTGATGGTCAATTTTTGGACAGGCTTGTAGCCCAGTTCAGTGTTTGGCATTTTAGAGTTAGGCTTGGGGATTTTGAGAACCCGATGGGTTTCGTCGTTATTGGCGTGGCGTGAAGATCTTATTTGGACTTGCATGGTAAAAGGATGAAAAATTATTTGCTTACATGACAGATTAGTTATTAATTTTTGTGGCGTTCATTTGTTTTAGTATTATTAGTTGGTAATATTACATTATCTTACCTTGTGGTATCACTGTTGTAATGAATAATTTCTCTAGAAAGAGAGTGGACATCCTTTTAGAGGAGTAAATATTGGGTGCAACGGTTAGTTGCACCATGTCAGCACTACTGACATTGTATAACCATTTAATGANTAGAGGAGTAAATATTGGGTGCAATGGTTAGTTGCACCATGTCAGCACTACTGACATTGTATAACCATTTAATGACAAAATAATAAAAAAAAAAAGTAAAATATAGCTCATTTCCTATCATGAAACTGATTATATATGACATAGTTTGGTAGTTATGAGTTTGAGTGGGATTTATTGGCTAATTTATCTATATATTAATGAATCATTACACCATATGATATGCTGACTTAGTATAACGGTAACAACCAATATTTTTTCCTTTTAGCGGCATCAAATGCGCTGTAAAATAGAGGGGTCTTCAAATTTTCGATTATCCATAAATTCTGATCCTACCTTACCTTACCCGACTTTACTAATTGGTTATCCAATAGAATCGAGATAGGTTAACGAAATATCTTTTAGTATTCTGTAAAAAATTGGATAAAAATGCGGAATATCTACAAAATTTTCGTATTTCTACTCTATACTACACACACACACACACACACACACACACATATATATATATATACACTGCTAATTACTATTTTACCCTTTAAAAAATTATAAAAGCTAACAAGTACTTTTGTATTTGAATATATAAATTATTATTATATCTCTCTTTATTTAAACAACAAATTAATTTCTAATATATCATATAAATCACTCTATCTTTGCAAAACTTTTGAATAATCATGTTTTGCTTAATATTATACATAAAAATAAAATTATTTTTTCCTAAAACCCCAATATTAATATACGTTGACAACTTAATTGATACAATATCATCTCCAATACCCAAAAACTAATATATTTATTTTTTCTATTCATTCACAATTAAAATAATTTAATAAAAAATTACTAAGGCACAAAGTAAAAACAAGAAAAAA